GACAAACTAGCCTGTGTTGGTTTGCCAGTTTACATTGCGTCTGGGACATTTACGACCATACCCTTGGAAAATATTTCTCAATCATAACCCTGGAAACACCTTCCGAAACAACTAAAAATAAAAAAATCCCTCCAGGGGAAAATAGCCATTTACGCACAGGAAATGAAGACCAATGTGGAGGAGTATGACTAATCTCTAGCAAATCGCTGATATATTGCTTAACGAGTGACATAAAATCTTGCAAAACCAATTCCTATGACATTTAACAGCAGCGTAGAAACTGTTGGGTTGAAGTTCAATACGCGCAGTACCTTCATGGGTTAGTCATAAAGCAGTAAACCGGAAAAACAAGCAGACGACGCAGTTTCTTATTCCAACAAGGCCTCACAGCGACCCGAAAAATAGATTTGTGGTCATCAGAAGTGGGTATGTTGAAGGAAGTGACAGAACCAGTAGACTTAACTAAAACAGATCAGTTCTGTTTGTGAAAAGCTTCAACCAGAGGCTTCCAAAGATAACGACTTGCAGGCTTTTGTATGAGTAAAGAAGAAGATAGGTCGAGCGCCAGAAAAAATCGCTTATTATTTTTAACTTTCAGGCTCGTGCAAGAGTCCATCTTCAGAGGTAGCAGCAACCAAAGAAAAAACCTGCACTTATAGGAGGTTAATGCCAACTCGCAATCAATAACGCGAGGCTGCAGGGGACTGTCAGGGGCTCTATATGCCTGTGTCAGGCGTATACATCGACTGGCTGGGGTGCGAGACAACGGACAGCCCACACCTACGAGACGGATCATGAGTTTAACTTCGGAGCGATCAAGATGATTGCCCACGCCAGAAGCCACACGAGGTTCAAATCGATTGATTTCTGGGCATCGGATGGGAACCCAACGGAATGAAGTAAGCGTTTGAACCAGGTGCCTGAAATTTTAAAGGTTAATTTACTGCCCTACACTTCGTCGGTTGAGAGATCTACCTCCAAAATGAATAATCAGTGATTCCGATTAGTAATAAAGTCAGAAACAAGAGCGCATTATTAGTCTCGACGTATAAGGTGCGGCTCATAGCAATTATTATTATTAGCCTTTAGGAAGAATTTACTTGAGTTCACTCGCTAGGAGAAAGATTTTAACAGCATGGCAGCCATGATAAAGCTTTTTGTGAATGAATTTCTCAGGTCGGAATATTTTCAACTCGTCCATGAGTGTCTCCCAATTGATTTGCCTGCAGGGATATTGATGGAATCTCAAGTGCGCAAAGTAACAAGATCAGACTTCGGTACCTCTATAAAAGGTTTCACGTGACACATGCAGCTAACACAGGTTGCGTGAATACTGCCCACGCCTTTAAAGTGATTTCTCAAAGGTCGGAGTGTCATTCGCTGTGATGAAGCATCGTCCAGATGGTTAAGCAATTTTCATACCATTGAAGACAAATTATGCGGGTGTAGGGTTGCAAGAAAAAAGAAACGCGAACCTGAAATGTAAAAACTTACTTGAAACATTGTTTGCAAAACTCATCGTCATCGCAATCGTGACAGATCACTGAGGCATCTTCTTCACAGAGGCAACAAAAGACTACGTCCGCTTCGGGTTTTTCTGAACCAACCTGGGAGTTGTAGGTCTTCGCTATTCTAGCTTCATCTATAAACTGAAAAAAAAAATATTGAGTCATAAAAACCTCAAACTAAAACGAGATAGTTCGCTACCTTACTCAAAGAACTTTTCGTGCATTCAGGATGGCTTATTGTAGCGCTAACGCAGGCCCAACTGTGATTTTAAAAAAACGGTGCAAGAGCTAGATGAGAAAACGAGAAAATAAGGAGACAGTAGAATCAGACGTTGGCAGTAAACTTACCATTCAAAAATTAAAAGATCTTGCAAGTAAAAAAAATGTATCCACTGTTTCCGTCTGGTGACTTTGTTGCGGCTTGAGTCGAAATTGGAACGCCGCAACCCTCAGTTAATTGGACAAGAAGTGAGACACCAAAAGGAGGGGTTTATTGCGTAAAGAACGATGTACTGATGGCGATAAAGGTGCTAAATCATGTCTGAGAAATGGATCGAAATTTCAGATACTTTTACATGCTTTTGTAAAAGTGCTGGGTGTTATATTGCCCGAGAGGCGGCGTGAGCGGGACGCAGGAGTAGGGATGAAGACAAGGAGGACTGAGATGGCTATTCTTGGCCTAGTATCCGCATTCAGTCAGCCATAACTAATCCCAGGATTCTTTGATTATTGAAAGTTTATAAGTCGCACTCTATTCTCAAGCCGTGGATCTTATTTTCCGGACGGTGGCGATCTGGAGTATTAACTACTATGAGAGGATCTTTAACCGAGCAGCTAAAGGAACAGGCCGATTTTGTAAGGCCTTATTACAATATAATCAACCGTTGCACGTTTTCTTAACAAGACCGCAAACAATAAAGCATAAGGAAAATCCAAACGCGAGACAACGCTCAAATAGGTTTCGCAAGTGAGATTACAGGATCTATATAAACTTAGTCGTCGAAACCGGAGGCGCGAAAATTAAGGACTAAGCGTGCGCGAACGCCAAACAACATCCAAACAAAGTCCAAAAACACCAACGTTGGCTCCTGGCTCATACATACATAATATGGTCATATTTAAAGGTAACGATAGCTGTTTGATCATA